ATCCTGAACATAGTGTTCATTATCAGCATGATCATTTTCGTCATCATCATATTATTATTTTTATTAATTATCATCGTCATCAACATCATTATCTCCATCATCGTCATCCCATTTATCATCATCACCGTCATCATAAACATCATCATCATCATCATCAGCATCATCATCATCATCACCACCATCATTATCATCAAGAAGATTGTTGTAATCAACAACATCATCACCATCATCAGCATCATCATCATCATCATGAACATATTATTCATCATCATCATCATCTTAATCATTATCATTATCAACATCATCATCATCGTATTTATCATCATCATAATCATAAACATCATCATCATCATCATCATCATCATCAAAATCACCATCATCAACATCATCAACACGAACATAATTATCATCATCATCATCTGCATCATGATCATTATCAACATCATCTACATAATCCTCATCATCATAAACATCATCATCATCATCATTATCATCAACATCGTCATCATCATCTTCAATATCATCATCATCAACATCTACATCATCAACAACGTAAACATAATCATCATCACCACCTTACTCATCATCATCATTGTAATCATCCTCATCATTGTAATCATCATCATCATCTTCACCATCATCATCATCATCACCGTCAACAGCATCATCATCATCATCATCATCATCATCATCATCATCATCATCATCAAGTTTATTATCATCATCATCATCATCACCACCATCAATATCATCAAAAAGATTGTTGTCATCAACAACATCATCACCTTCATCAGCATCATCATCATCATCATGAACATATTGTTCATCATCAACATCATCTTAATCATTATCATTATCAACATCATCATCATCGCATTTATCATCATCATAATCATAAACATCATCATCAGCATCATCATCATCATCACCACCATCATTATCATCAAAAAGATTGTTGTAATCAACAACATCATCACCATCATCAGCATCATCATCATCATCATGAACATATTATTCATCATCAACATCATCTTAATCATTATCATTATCAACATCATCATCATCGCATTTATCATCATCATAATCATAAACATCATCATCATCATCATCATCATCAAAATCACCATCATCAACATCATCAACACGAACATAATTATCATCATCATCATCTGCATCATGATCATGAGCAACATCATCAACATAATCCTCATCATCATAGTCATCATCATCATCATCATTATCATGGACATCGTCATCATCATCTTCAACGTCATCATCATCAACATCTACATCATCAACAACGTGAACATAATCATCATCACCACCTTACTCATCATCATCATTGTAATCATCCTCATCATTGTAATCGTCATCATCATCTTCACCATCATCATCATCATCACCGTCAACAGCATCATCTTCATCGTCATCATCGTCATCTTCATCTTCATCAGAATCTTCTCAATCATAAACGTACGCTTCACCTTCATCTTTGTCGTTTTCATCATACTCTTTCGAATGTTCCTCAAAACGATGGTCCGTATAATCATGCTGATCGTACTCATAATCATCATGTTTATCATCTTCATCATCATCATCATCATCATCATATCCATGAACATGATCATCATCATCATCATCATCGTCATTATCATCATTATCATCGTCATTATCATCATCATCATCATCACCACCATCATCATCAATATCATCAACATCTTCTTCTTCTTGTTCCTTCGAATATTCTTCTAAACTTTTGTCCGTTTATGCATCCTGATCATAATCATCAGTGTCATCGTTATCATCTTCATCATGAACATATTATTCATCACCATCATCAACATCATCATCATCATCGTATTTATCATCATCATAATCATAAACATCATCATCATCATCATCATCAAAATCACCATCATCAACATCATCATCAACAGGAACATGATTATCATCATCATCATCTGCATCATCATCATTATCAACATCATCAACATAATCATCATCATCATCATCATCGTCATTATCATCATTATCATCGTCAATATCATCATCATCATCATCATCACCACCATCATCATCAATATCATCATCATCTTCTTCTTCTTGTTCCTTCGAATATTCTTCTAAACTTTTGTCCGATATGCATCCTGATCATAATCATCAGTGTCATCGTTATCATCTTCATCATCATCATTTTATTAATAATATTGATCGTCATCTTCTTGATCATCACCATCATCATCATCATCATCCCCATTAACATCATCATCATTATCGTCATCATCATCATCACCACCACCATCATCATCATCATCATCATCATCATCATCATCACCATCATGATTATCATCACCATCATCATCATTGTTATCGTCGTCATCATATATGTAATCGTCGTCGTTTTCACCATCCTCTTCATCATCATCAACTTCATCATCTTCATCATCATCATCATCGTCATCATCCGAATACTCACCATCGTCTTGATCATCATAATCATTTTCTTTCAAATATTCTTCAACACCATCGTCCGTGTAATCATCCTGATCATAATCTTCATCATCATCATGATCATCTTCATCATCATCATCATAATAATATTAATCATCATCATCATTATCATCATCATCACCATCGTCATCCTCATCATGATCATGATCATCATCTTCATCTTCTTCATCATCTTCATCGTCATCGTAATCCTTACCATGGTCAGCATCATCATCTTTATCGTCATCATCTTCCTAATCATGATCATCTTCATCATCATCATCATCATCATCATCATCATCATCATCATTATCATCATCATCATCATCATCATCATCATCATCATCATCATCATCATCATCATCATCATCATCATCATCATCATCATTGTCATTATCACCATCCTCATCTCCAACATCATCTGCATCACCGTCATCCTCATCATTTACCTTTTTATCCAAACAACATCAGGAACATCCTTCTGACCATCTTTGTCACCGTCATTCTTGTTCCTATCATTAGCATATTCACGCGATTCATCATTTTCAGTAACACTGATCCATCTGCATCATCGAATGACCGACATAAATTTCACCATGCATGCCACTTGGGCAATGGGTTTGCATATCATATGAATGTTCGGTATATCATGAGACGTGAGGGCTCAAAAAAATGCAATTACTTCCATGAAAATCATTGAAAAATACTCTCCCACAAGGGTTGACTTATACCGATCACCATTATTCATAAGAATTGGAATAAGGCATGCGCAGCTTTGTTGGTGGACTCCAATTGGAGACACCTCAAAAGTTGGGGAATTCTCACAGTCACTTCCAATTCAAACAGTTGCCCTCTCACAGCTCAGATTAGAAAGTAATTGTGAAACATTCCCTGGTTCAAAGAGCATCGTCAAAGGACACACTGGTCGCTGGGATCAAAAGTGAAATGTGTGATTGTGCAATAGATAGATAATTCGTTTATCATCTACATCGTAGTCTTTTTGACCATCAGACTGCGAAAAATCTTGAAGAATAGGAGCAAACTAAACGTCCAATACGTTATATCAGCATTATGTTCTGAATAATGCTCTCGGTAATTCAAAGTTAAATAAAGTCGTCCCATTTTTTCTCGGGAGTTCTTATCTCGTCATTAATGGGGTCCACTAGTATTGGCAGGAATATGGTTTCATCTAAATTTCGAGCATGGCTATTCCCTGCAGACTAGCACACAATAGAGGCAACCGTTATAATACATGATCACTATTTAGAACAAATGAGATTGCTGTCGTGTACGAGCTCATCGGACATCCGTTTGTATCACTATTCTAATGCGTACATAACGGATGATGAGCAGTGTGCCATATTGTAACAAGGAAGACAACACAACACAGAATACTTGTATCTTACCGGCCAAAAAGTCAAGTCACGGAACATATACAGCCTTTTATATAGGCCTTTTTCCAGACTGCGCGGCACCAAGATTGCTATTGCCGCTGATTGAGCGCTTCGGCTGCTTTCTGTCCACTGCCTGTGGCCGATGGCTTGATTCTCTCGACCATCGTTTCCCTTCGGTTGGTCCGGCTGTCTCACTTCACGGCTCGATCGGCAGCCGTTCACCTGAGCTATCTTGCTGGTTGCTGGAGATCCCGTTGCTTCCCCTCTGGTCGTCTGTATGCCTCCTTTTGACTGCTTTGGGACGCCTCCGACATATTGGCCACCTGTTCTTTTGTCTGTGGCCCTCGTTTCTTTCGTTCGTTCGTTTTGATGTTCACGCCATCCCCTGTTACAATATCAAGTGACAATCGATAACTGCGGTTTGAAAACAATTGAAAACAAGTGTCCCTTCTGAGAGATACTTTTGTTTGCAGTTTTTCAATCTTCACTAGTTGCTTCATTTTTTTACAGCCGCAGCATTTATGCTGTTAGGTAGCAGAGCTTTCCTGCATTACCTCATGTTCAACAACTGAACTTGCAAGACACACTTTCACCAGTATCCGGTTATGCGTGCATCTGACAATTGGCAGTTGTTCTTCTTTCATATCGTCCTTTGACCTGAAAACACAATACTCATCGATAAACAATGAATTAGAGATTGTCTGGGCTGTTGAACTGAAATATCAACAGTCCTCTTTTGGCTAAACTGTATCGTGATCATGCAACGACTTTATTCAATCTGGGGAATCTGTAAAAGCGTACTCTCAGTGTTGGTTGGTTGAGATGCAAGCACTCACTTGCGATGTAACAATTTTTATTTGGTAAAAGCTAATTTGTCCGATTGAGGTTTTATTGAACAATAATGTATAGGCACAGGTGGCTGCTTAGTGTCAGATAAATGCTAAGTAATGAGAAATACACTCTCCGATAAATCAGGATTACCTAGGGCTTCGAAAACAACGGGTGATAATTGTTAATGACTCAGAGCGGGTCGGATTTTTTTCAGCATGAAAGTCAACGTCATCGCGATAGAATAGCGCCATGTGTTTTGTGAGGACCGGGTTTATGTCAAAAGTGTGGACAGCATGTACATGTTAGTGTCCGTACCTGAGCAAATGTTCTCTCGCCAAATGATACAATCAAATACTTCTTCGTTCACTGTAATTTTTGGCATCATGGACCTAGAAATACTTTCTGTTGCACACTACTATTGATTTACCTTCAACTCACCGCCCGTACCATACGAATATAGACTTCAGTTAATTCGAATCAACTCACCAATGCTTTGGTGATACCAGAAGGCCACTGTAGAGTGAACACGAAACAGTTGTGATGTGGGGTTTTTAGGATATTGTTCAGCTTGGAAGATGCGTATATAAATATGGGGTGTCTGTTCAGGAACTGCTACCAATGAACTAACTGAGGAAATGAGAGAACAGCCATTGGCAGGAATTGACCTGAAATTTATATTTGAGAACGGTGGAGGAATCTGCGCTGAAATAGGAACAGATTCACAATTTACTTCAGATATGATCAGAGGAAATACTACTATTTTTTCTTCTTCGAGGAATGGGCAATGCAGAACTTGGTACCGTTGAAGTTATTTTAAATAATGTCAATAATACACTGAGGGTTCTGCTTTTCGTGCACTTTTGATGCAGCGTATTTATCACAAATGTGTGTAAAGATTTACTTCCTGGGCAAATGGCCAACGTATCACGCACCAGCTTGATGAACACCCTGATGTGATAATTCAGATAAGAATAACAGTATAGAATATATTCATCACGAAAACCATATACATTGCAGGAAGAATCTGATATAAAAATCCGAATCAAGCTATATATGACTCAAACAATTAAAATAATCCTGGAATAGAAATTCCATTTACGTGGTTAATACCATATCACCAATTTCATCAGTACAAAAATGATCAACGACTGTATGTTTCAGTTCATAAATTTTTCACCCATTACTAGACCATTTTTTGGACGTTTCTGCTGCTATTTTAAGTCGAAGCTCCTGTAATGGAATGGATCCTTTTCAAACTTTTGCACGATTCCAAAACGTGTCACGTCCATGTTTCTGTAGTTGTTTCGGAGGTAAGAGAGTTCATCTCTGTAGATCGTGATCCGAAATCGGAAAGATTATCAGGTCGATCGATCTTTCCAAAACAAGATGTTAAGCACAAAAAGCATTTAAAAACTTACGATTCTTAAGGTCGTTCGAATGTAACAATTATTTTCGAAAGCTTGTACTGAAGTTATACATATCACATTCACGATCCTGGATAATGAGCTTCCAAATACTGCTACCTACATGATTTTTCATAAATGCCAATCATGCCCTCAGTTTACCTATCTGGCTAAAATACTGTTCTGCAGTATTTTATTCCTACAATTACCAACTACTGAAAAAGACAAACATGACAGACCAGAAGTAAAAATGTACCACTGTCAATAAGTGGATTGCTTAAGTAATATATGTGAAACAGGAGTGTAAATTTTGTTGGAACAGTGTCAAATTGTTTTGCTTTGAAGTGAGCAGAAAAAAGCACATTTTACGCATGTTAGTTTAAGTATATGTGTATATATAGATCTTTGGTTTTACGACATTGCTTATTGTTTTACTGCAAGCCGTGTGCCATTGCAAAGCTTTAGCTGGTTGATATTATCCAACATGATAATGGCACACTGATTTTCAACTGCAGTACGTTCGGTGGCATATCTGGAAATCAAGTGGATTCAACAATTCTGTTGGATAATCAACCGCTTCATCTGCTTCATCAACACTGCAAAGTGCTTGTGTATGTGTGCCTGTCTGTGAATAACAGACTGGACATTTTCTCTCGATTTGATTGGTATGGGATTGTATCTGGATGACAGGACAGAATTCCCCCGGAAGCACATGACCGGTTTCTCGGTTATTGCCGCTCATCAGGTATGCGTAATCGGCACTCTTCCGACCAATCACCCTTATACGCGAGCATTTTACAGTTGGTTTACAGCTGTAACCTCATTAGAATGGAATGGAGCGTGCATGAACGAGGAGTCGGTTTTTAGAACCGCACGGAGATTCCTCCACAGGTAATTCGTCTTTTAACATGGGTAGCATTCAGAGCGAGGACACTTGGTCCCAAGTATGGGTTTTTTCGATATGAGCTGTATGGGATCGTGTCTGGACGACAGGGTAATGCTTGGAAGAATCACTGTGTGATTCTGTAAAGGGACTTTCCGTTCATTCACGCTCTAATCGATTCAAATGAGATAGATAGACTGATAAGTAGAAAAAAAGTGCATCCAAAATGTCTCCAAGTGTCGGAATAATGTGAAGATCACAACGTTCACCAAAAACAAGTTTGCAATGTGAAAGCGCGAAGGACCAACAAGTTAGCCTATAACGGGATGCGCAGAGCCTATTGGTTGATATAATCACAGGTCGAGGTTTACGGATCTGCGTGTAATTACGGGGCAAGTGCCACCTCGCGGTGGAGTGGTTTCATGTTCAGCGAACAAACACGTGGAGACATGAGCATGCAAACGTGCGTAAGTCAGCGCCAAATTGAATCTGTCAGTAA